CTGCACATATGCCGGTCTATCAGTACATACATAAGTATTTCAAAAGTACCTTTGACAAAGCCCCAACAACAGCAAAACTAACACGCCAAAACCATCCAATAAATATAAAAAGAAGAAAAAAATGTCAACGACCTAACGTGAAAAAAACCAAACCAACCAACAACAAAAAAGAAAAATATACAAAAATTTGTATACGAAAATAAAATTATAAATAAATAAATAAAAAAAGTAAAAAAAGAAAGAACAGTTGGAAAAAACAGCATAATAATGAATTAAAATACAAATAAATTAAAGGTACAATAACCTTAACCGAATTTCAGAATTTTACATGCATACTTACAAAAAAAAAAAAAAACATATTGAAATACACATACAAATAACAATGAGCACCAACAGTTAGGGTGAACGCTAAATAAATAAGGGAAAATTGGACACGAAAATTATATTCTGGACTTAAGTCAATATTCCGGACATTAGTCTATAATCTTTACTATAGTTGAGAATGTAGTCTGAACTATCATCCAATCTATAGTTTAGTCCATAGTCTAGTCTATAGTAAAGTCTATAGTAAAGTCTATAGTCTAGTCTATAGTCTAGTCTATAGTCTAGTCTATAGTCTAGTCTATAGTCTAGTCTATAGTCTAGTCTATAGTCTAGTCTATAGTCTAGTCTATAGTCTAGTCTATAGTCTAGTCTATAGTCTAGTCTATAGTCTAGTCTATAGTCTAGTCTATAGTCTAGTCTAGTCTATATTCTAGTCTAGTCTATAGTCTAGTCTAGTCTATAGTCTAGTCTATAGTCTAGTCTATAGTCTAGTCTATAGTCTAGTCTATAGTCTAGTCTATAGTCTAGTCTATAGTCTAGTCTATAGTCTAGTCTATAGTCTAGTCTATAGTCTAGTCTATAGTCTAGTCTATAGTCTAGTCTATAGTCTAGTCTATAGTCTAGTCTATAGTCTAGTCTATAGTCTAGTCTATAGTCTAGTCTAGTCTAGTCTAGTCTATAGTCTATGTCTAGTCTATAGTCTAGTTAGTCTATAGTCTAGTCTAGTCTATAGTCTAGTCTATAATCTAGTCTATAGTCTAGTCTATAGTCTAGTCTATAGTCTAGTCTATAGTCTAGTCTATAGTCTATAGTCTAGTCTATAGTCTAGTCTATAGTCTAGTCTATAGTCTAGTCTATAGTCTAGTATATAGTCTAGTATATACTCTAGTCTAAAGTCTAGTCTATTTTATAGTCTATATCGTAGTCTATTTATAGTCTGGACTATTGACAAGTCTATTTATAGTCTAGTGTATAGTCTAGTATACAGTCTAGTTTATAGTCTAGTCTATAGTCTAGTCTAAGTCTAGTCTATAGTCTAGTCTATGGTCTAGTCTATAGTCTAGTCTATATATATAATAGTCTTATCTATAGCCTCGGCTATATTTTAGTCTATAGTCTGGTTTGTCTCATTTTTTTAATATTAAAAAATAGTTTTTGTCGGGACGCCCTAAAATAATATATGTTATTAAAGACTTCTCTTTTTTGTTGCTTTGTCGGTAATATTTTTGCTACTAATGTCTACTATTAAAGAACCATCAACTAAATTGGGCATAACAACAAAGAACAAAAGAATTTAAACAAAATAGAATTTGTTAAAAAAGAACAACACAAATTTTGTAATAATATTCTATTAAAATAGTAGTTTTGTTTCAAACAATATTTTTGAATGAATTCTGTTTTTTTTTTAACCAAAAACTAACAACCCTTTAAATTTAATTTCCCCAAAAAAGTCAAACACGTGTTTTGTAGGAGGTGTCTTTCAACTTTCTTTTTTTTTCTACAATAAAATTATGCTAATTTTTATTACGAATTATTCTTGAATCTGTTTTTTTTCTGTTGTCTACTTTTTCCCCTTATTTCGTCATTTAAAGGTCATTGTATATTATTTACATACGCATTTATAATTCTTTTTTGGGCATTTGTACATTAAAATAAATATAAGGTTCTTGATATTTGTTTCAAATAAAATTTTAAGTGATAAAGCCAGGCATGGTACCTTAAGCAGAAAATGGGAATGTTGAAAAAGTACTTAATTTTAATGAAAGTACTTTTCATAATAAGCTAGTTGAATCTTATTAAAAAGGTACCTTATATGGTTACCAAATTTTCCCTAACGTACTTTCCTATCATCACTACTGTTACAAATACAAAGATTATGAATGTATTCATATAATATCATTTATATTGGTTTCAACAAAGAACTGTCATCTGTCAAAAACAAACATCAGTCTCCACATGTTCCTTCCTCACATGTTTTTAAAATAAGTACATGTCAAATTAATGGCGTTTTTTTAACTTATTAAATTTTTTTTTATTTTTTTCAAAGATTTTCTCTATTTGAGAAAATCTAAAAGTAATTGAAAATTTCTTCCAAACAATTCCTAGAAATTAAAATTTAAACATGACAAGTTTGAGGAGAAGAAGAAACGCCTACGAAAATTTTAATTTTTTGGCAATAATAACCAAGCCAACATGGGAATTATTAGTTCAAATAAATGCTGGTACTTGTTTTTTGAATGAGACATCAATCATTTTTCTAAGATTCGAAAATAATTAATGAGAGACTTACAAAAATGTACCAAAAATAATTTTGGCTTTATGGCTACAAATTAGACTACAGACTAGAATATAGACTAGACCACAGACTAGAATATAGACTAGACCACAGACTAGACTATAGACTAGACTATAGACTAGAATATAGACTAGACTGTAGACTAGACTAATAGACTAGACTATAGACTAGACTAGACTAGACTAGACTATAGACTAGACTATAGACTAGACTATAGACTAGACTAGAATAGACTAGACTATAGACTAGACTATAGACTAGACTATAGACTAGACTATAGACTAGACTATAGACTAGACTATAGACTAGACTATAGACTAGACTATAGACTAGACTATAGACTAGACTATAGACTAGACTATAGACTAGACTATAGACTAGACTATAGACTAGACTATAGACTAGACTATAGACTAGACTATAGACTAGACTATAGACTAGACTATAGACTAGACTATAGACTAGACTAGATTATAGACTAGACTATATATAGACTATAGACTAGACTATAGACTAGACTATAGACTAGACTATAGACTAGATATGACTAGACTATAGACTAGACTATAGACTAGACTATAGACTAGACTATAGACTAGACTATAGACTAGACTATAGACTAGACTATAGACTAGACTATAGACTAGACTATAGACTAGACTATAGACTAGACTATAGACTAGACTATAGACTAGACTATAGACTAGACTATAGACTAGAATAGACTAGACTATAGACTAGACTAGACTAGACTATAGACTAGACTATAGACTAGACTATAGACTAGACTATAGACTAGACTATAGACTAGACTATAGACTAGACTATAGACTAGACTATAGACTAGACTATAGACTAGACTATAGACTAGACTATAGACTAGACTATAGACTAGACTATAGACTAGACTATAGACTAGACTATAGACTAGACTATAGACTAGACTATAGACTAGACTATAGACTAGACTATAGACTAGACTATAGACTAGACTATAGACTAGACTATAGACTAGACTATAGACTAGACTATAGACTAGACTATAGACTAGACTATAGACTAGACTATAGACTAGACTATAGACTAGACTATAGACTAGACTATAGACTAGACTATAGACTAGACTATAGACTAGACTATAGACTAGACTATAGACTAGACTATAGACTAGACTATAGACTAGACTATAGACTAGACTATAGACTAGACTATAGACTAGACTATAGACTAGACTATAGACTAGACTATAGACTAGACTATAGACTAGACTAGATAGACTATGACTATAGACTAGACTATAGACTAGACTATAGACTATAGACTAGACTATAGACTAGACTATAGACTAGACTATAGACTAGACTATAGACTAGACTAGACTACTAGACTAGACTATAGACTAGACTATAGACTAGACTATAGACTAGACTATAGACTAGACTATAGACTAGACTATAGACTAGACTATAGACTAGACTATAGACTAGACTATAGACTAGACTATAGACTAGACTATAGACTAGACTATAGACTAGACTATAGACTAGACTATAGACTAGACTATAGACTAGACTATAGACTAGACTATAGACTAGACTATAGACTAGACTATAGACTAGACTATAGACTAGACTATAGACTAGACTATAGACTAGACTATAGACTAGACTATAGACTAGACTATAGACTAGACTATAGACTAGACTATAGACTAGACTATAGACTAGACTATAGACTAGACTATAGACTAGACTATAGACTAGACTATAGACTAGACTATAGACTAGACTATAGACTAGACTATAGACTAGACTATAGACTAGACTATAGACTAGACTATAGACTAGACTATAGACTAGACTATAGACTAGACTATAGACTAGACTAGACTAGTTTACAGATAAAACTATAGTCCAGACTCTACACTTGTTTATAGACGGTGGTCCAGACTATAGATTTGTCTATAGTGTAGACTGTAGACTAGACCATAGCTCAGACTATAGACTAGGCTTCAGCCCAGACTATAGACTAGACTATATTCCGGACTATCAAGTAGACTGTTGCACAGACCATAATTATGGTCCAGACTATAGACTAGACTATTGGCTAGACTATAAGCTATACTATAGACTAGAGTATAGACTTGATTGTAGACTAGACCATAGGTTAGACAACAGTTCAGATTATAGAATATAGTCCAGACCATATAGATCGATTTATGTATATTTAGTTTTATAGACAGCTTGACTTTTTAATAGACGACTTTTTCAAAAATACTATATATCCCTGTGTGATGCCTTAAATTAAATAAAATTTATAACAAGCAAAGGAACTGATCATAATATTTATATAATGCCCCGTTATCTTCTTATTTCCTTTCAGCAATTACCACAACATGATACTGCATCAACGACATCTATCCAAATTTTATAAGAAATGTTTGCACAATAACAATAACAACTAAAAAGACTTAAAAATTTCCCCATCTAAAAGGAAATTTAATAAACAACTATAAAAAACAACAACATAATCTAAAAGAGGGCGTGGATCGCCCTCTTTCCAAAAGACTACAAGAGACTAAAAAACAGAAGCATAAAAAACGAAGACTTTTTTTACTCTATAAAAAATCATCCCATAAGAAAAAAATATGTCTACCATTAAAACAGAAAATATCACAACAGGAGCAGCAGCCGGAGGAGGATGTGGTGGTGCAGTGGTCACCACGACAACAACGGCGGCAGGCACAACATTTCAATTACCCATAAATATGAGCTATACAGCAGTTACGGGTGGTATAACAACGACAACTTGTACCACAACCACTACCAGGAATAATGTATCGGTGACAAATATTAAGTGTGAAGTGGAGGAGGGAGGTAATTCATCGTCTTCGACCAATGGCAATATTGTTTCAGTGGGTTTTTATAATGGTTCTTCTAGAGCTATAAGTGGGGCTAGTGTAATAACAGCAAGTCATGGTATACGTATACCAGTGACTAAAGCAGAGGATTCGGACTCAGAGACGGAACTAACAAATATAGAAAATTTAAAGGTGACACGAAGAGTGGCCAGTTCTTCTAGTTCTGTACACAATCATCATAATGGCCCTAGGCCCATGTCTTGGGAGGGAGAATTATCGGAGAATGAAGATACTAGGGAAGCGGAGTTAATGGATACCGATACTACCATGAGCAATGGAGGTGGTGGTGGCGGCTTGCAGGAACCCTCAAATGCGGTGGCTGTTATAAAAAGTGAAGCTACTACCACTACACCCTCGTCTGCGGGAGGATCCTTAATTAAAACGGATACCGAGCAGCTAATGTTGGACATGCAGCATGCGGCTGCTGCGGGAGGAATATACCATCCCAAACTAAAGTTGGCACCCACACAAAGTGATCCCATTAATCTGAAATATGAGCCACCTGATCATGCAGCTTTAGTTAACTCTCCGCTAATGGCCCGCCAGAAATCTACCACAGCTTTGCCTCATTTACCTGCCAATCCCAGTCCAGATTCTGCCATACATTCCGTTTACACCCACAGCTCTCCCTCCCAATCGCCCTTGACATCACGGCATGCCCCCTACACTCCTTCACTATCGCGCAATAACAGTGATGCTTCTCATAGCTCTTGCTATTCATATTCCTCGGAATTTAGTCCCACACACTCACCCATACAGGGTCGACATCCCGCCCCACATGGGGTGTATGGTAGTTTTAATGGAGCCACGGCCAATAGCTTACAACATTCCGCTTTACTCTACCGACCCATGATGGGTACTACGCAATCTGTCCAATCGACAAAATTAGATGCTGCTACCAGTGAGGTGCAAAATTTATCTATGGATGCCTCTTCATCGTCCTCGTCTTTTAACATGACCAGCGATTCTTCCGGCTTACCCGCCTCTCCGGCCGCTGGTATTTCCCGGCAGCAGTTAATCAACTCTCCCTGTCCCATTTGTGGTGATAAAATATCGGGTTTTCATTATGGCATCTTTTCATGTGAATCCTGTAAAGGTTTCTTTAAACGTACCGTCCAAAATCGTAAGAACTATGTCTGCGTGCGGGGAGGTCCCTGTGCCGTCAGCATTACTACACGCAAAAAATGTCCTGCCTGTAGATTTGAGAAATGTCTGCAAAAAGGCATGAAACTGGAAGCTATAAGAGAGGATCGTACTCGTGGTGGACGCTCAACTTATCAATGCTCTTACACTTTGCCCAATTCCATTATGAGTCCTTTGCTATCACCCGAACAGCAGCAGCAGAATGCTACACAAAATCTAATGTCCAGCCAACAGCAGCAACAACATTCACAATTGCAACATCAACTGCAGCAACGTTTAAATCCTCCCCTACAGTCGCCTCACCAATCCTCCAATGGTTATGGTGGCGGACAAACTTCCAGCACTACCATCAAAACCGAGCAAACAGATCCTTATGGCAAGAATCTCTCCTCGGCTCACTCACCTTCTTTAAATGGTTTAAATTCATCGTCACGTTTACATTCTCATAATGCCTCCTCTTCCTCCTCCTCCACCACCTCCGCCTCCTCATCTAATTCGCTGCATCACAACAGTATTCCCCAGCTATTACAAGAAATCATGGATGTTGAACATCTTTGGCAATATACCGATGCCGAATTGGCTCGTCTCAATCAACCCTTGACCTCTTCGTCCAGTTCAGCTTCACTCAATTCCAATTCAACGGATTCTTCAGCAGCTGCCAATCAAATGACCAATCCACTGCTGGCCAGTGCTGGTCTATCGTCTAGCACCAATCCCGATTTGATAGCACATCTGTGCAAGGTGGCCGATCATCGTCTGTATAAGATTGTTAAGTGGTGCAAAAGTTTGCCGTTATTTAAGAATATATCGGTAAGTGAATGTTTTTAAATTTTTTTTTTGTAATTATTTAGATTTTTTGAGAAGCGAGAGGAGATTTTAAAGAGAGTTTTTGGAAGCATAGGAGTTTAGAGTTCTGACTGTATAGGTAGGATTTCTGATCCAATTGGAAATATTGCATTGAGCCTTTTTACAATGCCTTCACATTAGTCGCATGTCTAATACTTCTGAAATTTTGCCTCAGAGTCTTTTAAAAAGCTTACAGTACAACACCATTACTTCAAATAAAGGACTATATGTTTAGGAAATCGTTAATAGTGGAAACTTAATCTTTGGTTAATATTGAACTTAATCCTTCTTCTATCGATGATTGTCTCTTTTTTGACCGGGTACCGGGGTTTAAACCATTCATACCTGACAGAAGCAGAAGTTCTATATATATTGAGTTAAATTGATGATCTTTGTTTATAGATGTTTACCTTTACTTGGTCTGGCTCTGAATCGGAGTTTACTCCGATCATTACTGTTAGGAGATGCTTCGTGTATCAAGATAGGATGAAGTGGAAATAAGAATGTGAATGTGTTTCCTTTTTTACAAAGAAATTAGAGAGAGGGTCCAAAATTAACTGTGATTGAAACACATTTAAGAGATTTGATTTGATTTAACTGAAGAATCATTTGTGGGTCTGTTTGAAGAATCATTCTTTGGATCCATTTCTGTTCTAGTTCAGTGTCACAACTGAAGAATCATTTGTGGAGTCTGCTTAAAGAACCATTCTTTGGATCGTGTTCAGTTCTAGTTCAGTTCTGGTTCAGTTCTGGTTCAGTTCTGGTTCAGTTCTAGTTCAGTTCTAGTTCAGTTTTAGTTCAGTTCTAGTTCAGTTCTAGTTCAGTTCTAGTTCAGTTCTAGTTCAGTTCTAGTTCAGTTCTAGTTCAGTTCTAGTTCACTTCTAGTTCACTTCTAGTTCACTTCTAGTTCAGTTCTAGTTCAGTTCTAGTTCAGTTCTAGTTCAGTTCTAGTTCAGTTCTAGTTCAGTTCTAGTTCAGTTCTAGTTCAGTTCTAGTTCAGTTCTAGTTCAGTTCTAGTTCAGTTCTAGTTCAGTTCTAGTTCAGTTCTAGTTCAGTTCTAGTTCAGTTCTAGTTCAGTTCTAGTTCAGTTCTAGTTCAGTTCTAGTTCAGTTCTAGTTCAGTTCTAGTTCAGTGCTAGTTCAGTTCTAGTTTCTAGTTCAGTTCTAGTTCAGTTCTAGTTCGTTCTAGTTCAGTTCTAGTTCAGTTCTAGTTCAGTTCCTAGTCAGTGCTAGTTCAGTTCTAGTTCAGTTTCTAGTTCAGTTCTAGTTCAGTTCTAGTTCCAGTTCTAGTTCAGTTCTAGGTCAGTTTCTAGTCAGTTCTAGTTCAGTTCTAGTTCAGTTCTAGTTCAGTGCTAGTTCAGTTCTAGAATTTCAGTTCTAGTTCAGTTCAGTTCAGTTCTAGTTCTAGTTCAGTGTTCTAGTTCAGTTCTAGTTCTGTTCTAGTTCAGTCTAGTTCATTCTAGTTCTAGTTCATCAGTTTCAGTTTCTAGTTCATTCTAGTTCAGTTCTAGTTCCGTTCTAGTTCAGTTCTAGTGCTCGTCTAGTTCAGTTCTAGTTCAGTTCTAGTTCAGTCTGAAGTTCTAGTTCTAGGTCAGTTCTAGTTCAGTTCTAGTTCGTTCTAGTTCAGCTCTAGTTCAGTTCTAGTTCAGTTCTAGTTTAGTTCTAGTTCAGTTCTAGTTCAGTTCTAGTTCAGTTCTAGTTCAGTTCTAGTTCAGTTCTAGTTCAGTTCTAGTTCAGTACTAGTTCAGTTCTAGTTCAGTTCTAGTTCAGTTCTAGTTCAGTTCAAGTTCTAGTTCTAGTTCAGTTCTAGTTCTAGTTCAGTTCTAGTTCTAGTTCAGTTCTAGTTCAGTTCTAGTTCAGTTCTAGTTCAGTTCTAGTTCAGTTCTAGTTCAGTTCTGGTTCAGTTCTAGTTCAGTTCTAGTTCAGTTCTAGTTCAGTTCTAGTTCAGTTCAAGTTCAGTTCAAGTTCAGTTCTAGTTCAGTTCTAGTTCAGTTCCAGTTCAGTTTTAGTCCAGTTAGTTAGATAACACGATCATTCCACTTTATATCGCTTTTTCATTCATTTATTAGGTCTATGATTACTCTTAGTCCCAGAAAGTCAGTCTAAGAGTCTGATCGTTTGACTATTTAATTTATGGAATTGCTAGAATTGTTGTTCAATTTCATTAAGTCCGAGTTTTTATTCGATATTGTCAAAAAAGTTTCGCGAGTGTTTTATAGTGATTAAAAGAATCTTAACATGTAAAAGACCAATAAAAAAAAATTGGAGTTAAAGAGATCGTACATGTGTATGTAGACTTGGAAGCAGAGATTTTAATAATTAGCATTTACGTTCCAAGTTCGTGAAATGTTTTCAAGATTTCACGACAGTTAAGATTATGTATTATTAGTATAAGAAGAAGCAAGAAACTAATTTAGACAGAATTGTGAAGGGTGCGTGAAGAATTTTACAAGCACTTCAAGGAATTTTCAGTTTTGAAGAGGAATATTAAGAAGAGAAATGTTTGAAGCATCAAAATTTGAGCCAAAGGTTTTGAACAGTTTTCAAGATACAGTAAGATTTCAAATTAAATCCAAGTTTTGGGCGTATTCAAGATACATCAATATGTGGGCGTAATCAAGATACATCATGATTCAAGATACATCAAGTTAACAAATAAGAAGTAATTGGAAAGTTTTGAGAACAGAATTTGTACGCAGTATTCAAGAAACCAAAATAGTTGCAATTTCCAGAAGTTGGTGTAGGCCCACCTACATAGCTTAAGTTCCTGCTTTAATGAGTAAATCCACTAACAGCTGCCTTGTTCTTTTATTTGTTTTTTCAAGATTGACGATCAAATTTGCCTGCTCATCAACTCATGGTGTGAACTTTTACTTTTCTCCTGTTGTTATCGTTCGATCGATACACCGGGAGAAATTAAAATGTCACTGGGCAAAACAATAACACTGCCACAGGCTAAATTAACTGGTTTTCAGGTGAGATCGCAAGAAAATTTATTATGTTTTAAACAGAAAATATATTTAATGGTTAAATTTTATACTTATACCATTAGCCCTGCATTGAAAGAATGCTGAATCTGACAGATCATTTAAGACGTCTACGTGTTGATCGTTATGAATATGTTGCTATGAAAGTTATTGTACTGCTGCAATCTGGTAAGTGAAAAGTTGAGAATCAGAGGGAAATTTTTGATGAAAAAGAAGACTGAAGTATATAATACGTACCGCTGCTAGAGGACTGCTGATCTTTTTATAACATAAAGTCAAAGGATAGCTATATTCCGAGTGTCTTTAAAATTTCCCGCTGGTTCCTTTTCATTTTGTTCGTATATTCACTAACTTGTTTTTTTTTCCTGCCTAGATACTTCCGAATTACAAGAACCCGTTAAGGTTAGAGAATGTCAAGAGAAGGCTTTGCAAAGTTTACAGGCCTATACATTGGCCCACTATCCCGATTGTCCATCGAAATTTGGTGAATTATTATTGCGCATACCCGATCTACAGAGAACTTGTCAGGTGAGTTCCAGAAGAAAGTTAAACTTTATATAACACGATTATAATATTACTTAATACATTATAATTGGATTATAATATTGTAGAATTCATTATAATCTGGTTATAATGTTACATAATACTTTATAATGGGATTATAATGATAAATAATATATTAAAACTGAGATATAATGTTGTATAATGCATTATAATCCGATTATAATGTTATAGAATGCATTATAACCGGATTATAATGTTATAGAATACTTTATAATGAGATTATATTGACAAATACAACAATATAATTAAATTATAATTTTAGAGATATATTATAATACTATTTCATACATTATAATCTGATTAAATTCACATGTGATGCCTTATAATCCGATTATAGTGTTAAAGGATACTTATAATGGAATTATAATGATAATGAATATATTATAATTGGATTATAATCATATATAATACACTATAATTGTATTATTGTGTTATAAAATGCATTATAATCATATTATGTTATAAAACACTTTATAAATGGATTGTAATGCTACAAAATACTTTATAATAGGTTTATACATGTTGTATAATGCATTATAATCTGCTTATAATGTTATAGAATGCATGATAACAGCATTATAATGTTATAAAATACTTTATAATGAGATTATAATAACAAATACAACGAAATAATTAGATTATAATTTTTGGAATGCATAATAATCATATTATAATTATATTTAATACTTTATAATCGGATTATAATCATATATAATGCCTTATAATCTAATTATAATGTTACAGAATACTTGTAATTGGATTATAATCATATATAATACATTATAATTGTATTATAATATTATAATCATATTATAATATCATAAAATTCTTTATAAATTGATTATAATGCTCAAAAATACCTTATATTCGGTTTATAAAGTTGTTTAATGAATTATAATTCGATGATAATTTTACATGAGTCTTTATAATGGAGTTATAATGGAAAAGATTACATTATAACTGGATTATAATGATATAGAATGCATTATAATCGTATTACAATGTTCTATGATTCATTATAATCCGATTATAATGCTAAAAAATAAATTATAATGTATTATTTGAGAATATTTCGAAGTTTTTTATATATTTTTTAATTATAAAAATTTTATAAATTTTTTGTAAATTTTTAAGACATTTCTTGTTTTCTTTTCCAGCTGGGCAAAGAAATGCTGTCTATTAAGTCACGTGATGGTGGTGACTTTAATTTATTAATGGAACTCTTAAGAGGAGAACATTGACAAATGCCTTTTATAATAATTTTAAGCACAAACAATTTTATTATAAATATTTACCATTTCAAAATGGTATTTCCATATAACACTATCACTCTCTCTCTTACTCTTATTAAAACAAATTTTGTTTTAATAGAAACATGAAAAACATAAATTTTTTATTGTTTAGTATTTTTTTTTAATTTTTATAAAATTTAAGCTTAAAAAAACAACAATTTTTATAAAATATATTAAGGTAAAATAAGTTTAATTTTAAATATTAATTATAATTATAAAATTAAAGAAAATGTGCCTAATAAAAAAACAGAACTTAAAAGAAACTGATTTATTATAATTGAAAACAAAAAAAAAAACTAAAATTAAAATTGTAAGAAAAATTTTAAATAAAAAGAAATTTTGAAAACATTTTTGCCAAATTTTTTTATATATAAAATTATTTAAGAAAAAAACAAAATGAAAACAACAAATTTTGTATAAAAATAACTAATAAAATAAAATCCTCGAAGAGACTTGATTTTTTTAAAGAAAATTATAAAAAAACAACAAATTGAAATATATATTAAACTATATTGTATTAATAATGTAATAGTTTTTTTAAATAGTATTTTTTTATATTTAATTATAAATTGATAAAAATAAACTTAATTACTAATAAATTTAAAATAAAAAAACTAAAATTTTTTTGGTAACAAAAAAATATCTACAACAATCATTATTATAGTATAAATAAAATATTAATAATTAAATTACATTTTTTTAAATATAAGTTTTAGGTTTTTTTTTATAAAAAAAAATAAATATTTTATATTTTTATATGAGAAAAAAGTAATATTTAAGTAAAATTAAAAAAATAAAGCAAAAAAATAACTAAATATTAATTTTAAAAAGGCTACAAACTTTCTTTAAAGAAAATTGACTTTGTCATTAGTGTGAAATTTTCTGTAGGATTTGTAGCTTATTTTTTATTTGTTTTTCAAAATATTTTATATTATTGATTTATTTTAATTGTAAATATATAAAGTTTTTTTTTCAATATTAAGTTAAGAAAATATTTACCCAATTTTAAACATCCTGGCAGCTGATTTATTTCAAAAACTTTACTAAATTTGCAGTTTTTTAAAAAAAATTTCGAACAATATAAAAATAATAATTTTCGAACATTCGAATTTTGTTAAAAAAAAACTTAATGTAATCTTATAGCTTGCATTATAATCCGATTATAACTTTACATAATAAATTATAAAGGAAAAATTCTGATAAAGAATACATTATAACTGGACTACAATATAATAGAATACATTATAATAATATTATAATGTTATAGAACACTTTATAATGGGATTATAATAACAAATACAACATTATAATTGGATTATAATTTTATAGAATACATTATAATTATATTATAATGCTATTTAATACTTTATAATCGGATTATAATCATATATAATGCCTTATAATTCGATTATAATGTTACATAATACTTATAATGGAAGTATAATGTTGAAAAATACATTATAATCGGATTATAATCATATATAATAAATTATAATTGTATTATAATATATAAATTGTATTATAATATTACAGATTACTTTATAATTGGAATGTAATGTTAAAGAATACATTATAATTAGATTATAATTATATAAAATACATTATAACTGGATTACAATGTTATAAAATGCATTATAATGATATTATAATGTTATATAATACTTTATAATGGAATTATAATGACTAATGTTACATTATAACTAGACTTTATGTTATAGAATTTGTTATAATCATATTATAATGCTATCTAATACTAAATACTCGGATTATAATCCTATATAATGCCTTATAATCCGATTATAATGTTACAGAATACATTATGATTAGAATATATATTATAGAATGGATTATAATCGGATTATAATAATCTATAATGTATTATAATTTGCTTATAATGTTAATTTCATAGAATGAGTTATAATAGCATTATAATGTTATAAAATACTTTATAACTGAATTATAATGCTTCATGATACTTTATAATGGGATTATAATGAAAAAGAATACATTATTACTTGATTATAAATTCTTTGAATGCATTATAATAGCGTTATAATGTTATAAAATGCATTATAGTCCCACTAGAAGGTTACAGAGTTTTTTTTTTTTTTTTAATATTTTTCGAAATATTTTTCAAAACATTCGAATTTCGTTAAAAAATTTGACATTTTTTCACAATTTTGTTAGATAAACATTTTATTAAAGAAAATACAATATTTAAAACATGTTCGAAAATCCGAAATTTTTTAAACAAATCTTATCAGAAAGTAACGCTGTTTTTCTCAAAACAAGGAAAATGGTAAAGTTTTGACTGAAATCAGACATATGACATGAAATTTCCCAAGAAAATTTAAAAACATTTTCCCAAAAAACTGCTAAACTTTAGTAAATTTTGTACTCATTTAATTATAATTTCCAATTATTTAAAACCATTTCTTTCAAATCAAGACATAAAACATATTATCCAAATAGCAATAAATATAATCCCATCCTTTAATCTATCACCCTTTCCCTATAGAACATCAACCATAAAACAATAGCATATAGTTTTAGTGCAATTATAGTAAAAAACTTAATAATATAAATATAATAAAATAATATTATAACAAATAAAAATAAAAAAAACAAAATAAATTATAATATAAAAATTTTTTATAAAAACATAAATATTCCAGTGTTTTCTAAATCAAATGAATAGAAACTAAATAAAGAAATATACACAAATAAATTAATAAACTCATAGTTGCAATTTTGTTTTTTTAGAAATAAATAAAAATTCCTGTAACAGGATTTAAAAGATTTTGAAATTATTTTAAAATGTTTTTTCTATTTCTTTTTTATTATTATTTAAGACGGTTAAACCATCAGGTCACGTAAACTGACAGGACTATTGAATATAATTGTTGGGACTTTAGAATAGATTAAAGCCTGGACTGAAGTCGAGACTTTAAAATTAATTAATGACGAGTCTATAAAAAATAGACTACAGTCCGACTATAAAATATACTATGGTTGAGACTATAGAATATACTATAGTTGAGACTATAGAATAGACTATAGACGAGACTATAGAATAGACTATAGACGAGACTATAGAATAAACAATAGTAGAGACTATAAAATATATTATAGTCGAGACAATAGAACAGACTATAGTCTCGACTATAGAATAGACTATATTCGAGACTATAAAATAGACTAAAGTCGACACTATATAATAGAGTAGACTATAGTCGGGACTATAGAATAGAGTATAGTCGGGACTATATAATAGACTATAGTCGATGCTATAAGCGAGCCTATAGAATAGGCTATAGTTGAGGCAATAGAATAGACTATAGTTGAGACTACAGTCGAGACTATTGAATATGGTATAGTCGGGAATATATGTAGAATAAACTATAGTCGAGACTAAAGAATAGACTAAAGAATATACTATAGAATATACTATAGTTGAGGCTATAGAATATACTATAGTTGAGGCTATAGAATATACTATAGTCGTGACTATAGAATAGACTATAGTCGGGACTATAGAATAGACTATAGTCGGGACTATAGAATAGAATATAGTCGGGACTATAGTCGATGCTATAAGCGAGACTATAGAATAGACTATAGTTAAGGCAATGTAATAAAACTTATGTCGAGACTATGGAATAGAGTATAGTCGAGGCTATTAAATAAACTTTAGTGGAGACTAAAGTCGAGACTATAGAATAGACTTTAGACGAGACTATAGCCGAAACCATAGAATAGTCTATAGTAGAGACTATAGAATAGACTATAGTCGAGGCTATGGAATAGACTATAGTCGCGGCTATAGAATAGACTAAAGTTAAGACTATTGAATAAACTATAGTCGAGGCTATGGAATAGACTATAGCCTAGAATATAGTCATGACTATAGAATAGACAATAGTAGAGACTATAGATTAGACTATAGTAGAGACTATAGAATAGCCTATAGTCGAGACTAAAGAATAGACTATAGAATAGACTAAAGTCGAGATTATAGAATTTACTATAGCCCACACTATAGAATAGACTATAGTCTAGACTATAGAATTAACTGCAGTCGAGACTACAGAATAGACAAATGTCGAGACTTATGAATAGATCATAGTCGAGACTAAGTATAGAATAGACTATAGTTCAAGCTATAGAATATACTACAGTCGTGACTATAGATTAAACTATAGTCGAGACTATAGAATAGAATAAAGTCGATACTATAGTCGGTACTATAGTAGGGACTATAGTCTGAAATATTGTCGAGTGTAGACTATAGTCGGGACTATAGAATAGAAGATAGTCGAGACTAAAAATGGACTAAAATCGAGACTTTAGAATATAATATAGTCGAGACTATAGAATAGACTATAGTTCAGACTATAGAATAGACTATAGACGATACTATAGAATAAATTCTAGTCGAGTCTATAGAATAGACTATACAACAGACTGTAGTCGAGATCATTGAATGGACTATAGTCGAGACTGTAGTATAGACTAATGTCGGGACTATTGATTCAACTTTTAAAGAAAACACTTTTAACACAGTGTCAAATACAATTATATTTGGAATTATTATTTTTTTAAATTCTGTTAAGTTACTTTTTTATATTTTATCCAAAAGTTATAATATTTTTTTATATTTAATATTAATTTTTAACATTTAATAATAATTTACTTAACATTTTTTATATAATTATTTTTATTTTAATAAATATAGTTTTTTTTAAGTTTATTAAACAAATTATATAAAAGAAAATCATAGTTATTTAAGAGAAAAACAAAATACATTAAAAATAAATAAAAAATTTATACAATGCAATATTTTTAACAAAAAAAAAATCAATAGCAACACAAAATTGAAGTTTTATTTGAGTTTTTTTTTTTTTAACAAAGTTTCTATAAAAATCTTTAAGAAAAATTAAGAAAGGACTGATATATACTTTATTGCGCTAAAAACGATTTGTATTTTAAACTATAAACAAACAAAAAATTAAAACAATTTTGAAAATTTTTATAAAAATTGAAATAATTTTCAAAGAATTTTCCTAAAATAAATCGAAAAAAACAAGTATATTTTATAACAGCAATTGTTTTTGCAATTTTGTATAGAAAATATTAAAATAAAACAAATAAAAAAAACTTTTGTAGTAAATTTAAAAAATGATTTAAATAAAAATCATTGAAAACTTAAATAAAAAGAAATAAATGTTGTGAAAAATATGAAGAATCATGTAGTTTTCCTCTCTGTAGGAATTAAACTTCTTTATCTTTTCCTACACCTTCCATTCCCTTCCATTTCAATCGTCAATTTTCATTTTTTTCAA